TTCTACTCATTTATAAATTTTAACCGTGAATTTTAATATGTGAAATATGTTTATGGTCACAAGTCTAATTAATTAAAATAACAAGTCTAATTAATTCAAATAAAATGACTACAGGTATATGTATGGTCGTTCACAGTTGATATTATAGTATGGTCTGGTCGTCTTATATCTATTTTGATATTATAATATGGTAGTTCGCACTGATTTACAATTTATAACTTTTTAGAAAAATAAAGAATATACATCTGTCTAAAAATATTAAAATTTAAAACATTAATTCATCACACAAACGTTTTCTAGAGAGAACTACCTAATTCTCATTTTCCAAGCAGGAGCAAGATCAATTCTTGTCGGATTCAAATAAAATATTTTTAATATTTTTTTCTTTTCTCTATCTTTCTTTATTTAATATTTAGGGAAAATAAATATTTTTAAAAAAATAATATTTGTTTTGCACATTTAACTAAAGGTAATTGTAGATGGACATTGTAGAGGTACTCGATATCTTCCTTATGCATAATCGGCTCCTAGATCCTGGTTTCAAATGGTCAATTATTGTCGGGCCCAAATAAAATATTTTTAATGTTTTTATTTCTTTTCTCTATCTTTCTTTATTTAATATTTAGGGAAAAATAAATATTTTTAAAAAATAATATTTATTTTGCAATTTAACTAAAGACAATCGTCTTAAGACAGACGTTGTAGGGTACTAATATCTTCCTTATGCGTAATCGACTCCCGGATCCAAATCTGGTTTCAAATATCATTTTCTAAAAAAGGTTTTTCTATAGTTTTACTTAATAAATTATAGTGACGACTCCATTTTTTTTTAAACATTGTATACTTACGTTGTCCTATTGTGATCCCAGTTGCGACACTGAGTTATTTCAAATGCAACTAGCAAATCAATCAAAGATATGCAAAAATGATTCACACATATCACAAATTATCTTAATAAACTTGGTAAGACTTCTAAAAGAAAGAAGAGTTAAATCTGAAAGTGCTAAAGTGACTTGATAGAAGTTGGCAATCCATAGTTACTTTAATTTCTTAATAAAAGAAATTATCTCCACAACAATTTTGGAGTCAAAGGACTTATTTACCATGAACGTTGATTCATTGTTTGGGACATTAAGGGAACAAAAACTTGAAATGAATAGATTGGCTAAGCAGGATAATAATGATAAGAAAAAGAATGATTGAGCTTTGAGAACATCTACTCATGAATAAGATTCAAGTGAAAATGAAGAATAGAGTGAAGCTAAAGATCTATCCCTATTGGTCAAGGAATTTAGAAGGTTTATGAGAAAACAAAAGTCAAAGCAAGTATAAAAGGTTTAATTAGAAGAGGTATTTCAAGAAGGAGAAAGGTCTTAAGAGAGAAAAGAAAGGAAAGTCTAAGAGAGCTTACATAGCTTGATATAACGATGATCACTCTAAAACTTATAACGATTCTTTCTAGTGGAGAAGACGAAGTAAACTTGTGATTGATGGCCAATATTGAAACAAAGAGCAATGTAATAAGTAACAATGATTTTCAATTTGAAACAAATTATGATAAGTTACTTGATGTTTTTAATGAATTACTTGATGATTTTAATGAATTACTTGATCAAGATAAGAAATATACAAATTATATCTTCCTACTCATCATATGTATATAACAACGCATGTGGTTTTTCATGAAGATAAAATATATTTTTCTTTTGGGTTTGATTTCGAGGGAGAGAACCAATAAGAAATTCAGGAAATACAAACTCTAGAGTATAAAACCCAATCTCTAGAATATAATATGGATCTAAATGATGTAATTTTATATGTTTACCCTTCAAGAGATGAAGAAAAAATTGATATTAGAGAATAAATATATTTTAGTTTATATTTTTTGAGATGATATCAGTGTCTACTCTAGAGATGTTGGGATATTAACCATTAGCAGTGTTGGACTAAATCACCTGTTATCGAGGACATTAACCGTTAACAATGGTGGATTAAACCACCCGTAATTGGAGTAATATTATACCACTAATTCTCGATATAAGAGAGTGTGATGAAAAAAATCCTCTTTGATGTGATATGTGTGTTGAGAAATCGCACATCGACTAGAAATATGATAACATTATAGTATATAAATGAATACAATCCTTACTTTATAGAGTCAATTTTATAGGGTTGAGTTAGGTATCTTACCTTTTATAAGAAATAACATCTATATTGGTTTGTGGAGTCAACTTATTACATTGATACTTATGAAGATGAACAAATGCAACACATTCAAATGAAGGGGTAATTTATGAACAATTAGAGTGACAGTTTATAGAGTATTTTAAAACGAGTCTTAAAACCAGTAAAACTTGAGGGAATTCGATTTATTTATTATACTACCGAAGTAAGAGCTCCCCCAGTGGCGGATCTTGACCATTGATCTTGGAGGGGCTAAATAATATATTATTAATAAATAATAAATAAATATAAAAGGAAGAAAGAAGATGAAAGGGTAAAAGGATAAAATTGTAAATATATACTTAAATATATTAAATGATCATTAAGTTAGAGAGAGACAAAATCATAAATTATATGAGAGTTACAAAACTGAAGAGGGGCTGAGAGATAAAATTGTAAATATACAAGTAAATATATTAAATGTTAATTAAGTTTGGGGAGACCAAAATCATAAATTATATGGGAGTTACAAAATTTTGGGGAGGCCACGACCCCCCTCAACTCCCAAGAAGATCCGTCACTGTTCTCCCCAATAACATAATGACATGTGTGTCTCAATCAATGATGTACGAACAACTTCAAAGAAATGTCGATTTTTTCATCACACTCCCCCATATCAAGGATGAATTCTCCAATATTGGTTAAATAATAAGTGGTTTAGTCTATCAATGTTAATAGTTAATATTCCTCGTAATAGGTGGTTTAATCCACCACAACTAACAATTAATGTCTTTCTTTTATATCTTACTTTTTAAAAAATAAAATAGACTAAAGTTAGTAGTAAGTTATGCTTGATCTTTAGAAGCTTAACCTAGATAGGTATTAAGTATTTTTTTTTTTCATTTTCTTGATACTAAATACTAAGAAAGATAACATGTAAAGAAATATTAGTGTTTTTCATGTGAGAGGATTACACATTATCATTCAAGATGAGAAGAGGAGTATGAAATATCTTTATGTATGGATGCTTATTTGTGGACAGAGAGACAATCCCTAAGTCCTATATGGTCACATTACTGTTTCCTTTCAAGATCTTAAACTATTTGTGAAAAATTGTGTAGGTAGTAAATAATAATTATGAAATTATTTTCCCCGATTTTGAAAGGAAACATTACATGGGTATTTAAAGGAAAATGTAATCCTAATAGAATAAACAAATATCCTAAAATAAAGAAAACAAATATCCTAGAATAAAGACTCTAAATCAAGGGGTAAATATACTAGATAAACTTATAATCTCCATCCCTTAATTTTAGGAATTTTTTACAAACAAATCTATATTTACTCAATCAATATATATTTACAGTAACTTATTATCACACTATGACTTAACAGGTCCTTCTAAATTAACCTCCAAATCATCTAAGATAATTTTTAACCATGGTAAATCACAGAGCTCTTGTGTAATGACCTAAATTATTAATTTGTTGATGATCTTGCTACCACGTTTAGTTTTTTTGTTCTCTATTTCATTAAGTTTCCGTCAGGACAATATAATATCCAATTGATCTTTTGTCAACGAGAGAATCTGCATAGATTTAGTCTTCATTTTCTTTGAAATTTCCCTTTGCAACATTAACCTTCAAGTAATGTAGAATTTTATATTTAGCTTGGAGATTGTATTATTTCTTTGGTTCATACATAAATTGATTAATGACACTCACTGAAAGAGTAATATTTGGCCTTGTGTAAGCCAGATATATTAAGTTTTTTACCAGTCTCTGATATAATCTTCTGTCTATGTCTATGGGTGGTTCCTCATCAGCCTTACATAATTTATGATCAAGGGTTGATACTAGTCAGCACTTAATTTTTCCATTTTATTCCAGCACACTAGTTATATATTTTTGTTGAGATTGGAAAATTTATAGGTTAGAGTAGACTACTTCAATCCTTAATAAATACTTCACTCTTTCGAAATTTTTAGTTTAAATTCCAGAATAATAAAAGAAATTATAATATTTCTTTCTTTATCAAAATATCAATAGACAAAAGGATAATTTCATTAATAAAATAAATTACAATTATTCTCTCTTTACTAAAAACACCCACAATACTCATGTACTTAAAAAATAATAATTCTAAAAAAAATTAAAATAATTTTTTTAAATTTATTTCTTAAACACTAAAACAGCAAAAGAAAAAAATAATTTTAATGTGTTTTATAAAATAAACATATTCATCCTTTTATATAATAAAAAAAAAGTAAGAATTAAAGTAAAATTTATCCAGTTTGCACCATTTTTTATTCTCCTTCAAAGTGGAATATTTTTAACATCATGTTGTAGACTTCAATAAAAAATGAGTAATTAATAAAGACATGGATTCTTAAAATATTTAATTAGCAATTAGTGTAAAAGTCTTTTAATAATTTATTTTATAAGTTTGAGTGCATTCTTGACAACTAACCTCTCTTTATATCTTTCAATAAGACCTATCACAGATATCCATCTGTAATTAATAATAATCTTTACTTTCGGTTTCACAACAATTTTTCAAGTTCTTATTTTGTTTATTGCATCCATCTCCACTCTCATGGTATCTATCCATTTATTTTATGTCAAAACTTCAATATCCTTGTTTAAGTAATTGTCAACTGTTAAAGTTGAAAATAACTTATGATATCCATCTACAATGGAAAAAAAAAAAAAACCTTGGGGGAAATTCCAGTCTCAGTCAAAGCTAGTTTTCCTTATTAATATGACTTCCTCAGTGGCTTTGGACAGCCAGAACTCCATTCCCTAGATATTAATATAACCTTCTCATTTCTCATCCACATGCGATCATCATCTTCTTCTTCCTCCTTCTGTTACAGATTCACCTACGATGTGTTCCTCAACTTTCGAGGGAAAGATACCCGTCACGGTTTTACAGGCAATCTGTACAAAGCTCTATGTGATAGTGGAATCCGCACCTTCATCGATGACCAACATCTGTCTAAAGGGGACCAAGTGACCTCTGCACTTGAGAATGCAATCCGAGAGTCCAGAATTTTCATCGTCGTCCTCTCTGAAAACTATGCGTCTTCTTCCTTCTGCTTAAACGAACTTGATTACATTCTGAGGTTTATAAAGCATAAGGGTCGGTTGGTTTTGCCAGTTTTTTATGGGGTTTACCCTTCTGATGTGAGACACCACACAGGTAGTTTTGGAGAGGCATTGGCTCATCATGAAAAGAAGTTCAATTCTTATTATAATATGGAGAAGCTGGAGACATGGAAGATGGCTCTGCATCATGTGGCTAACTTGTCTGGCTACCATTTCGAACATGGGTAACCATCCTTACCTATCTTCGATCTTATTTTATTTTAGAAAAAATGTGCTTTTAGTCCAAGTATTTTTGTCAAAAAACTGATTAAGTTCCTGTACTTTCTTATCAATGAATTTGATTTTTAAATGCTTAAAACCATGTATTTATTCTGTTACTATATATAAATTCGTCATTTTTTTTAAGTTCAAAAATTCACATGTTTTTAAAGTTTGCAGAATAATTCACCCATATAGAACTATAAGGATATTACCTCGTTTGATTGAAAGGAAAAAAACTAGAACATAGTTTTTCATTTTTAATTCATTAAGTATATTTGGATGTTATGGCTTAGCTATTAATTTGATTCATGCATTTTTCTGCACTTTGTTGTTTTGACCCTATGTGTAAAGATTATAAGCTTTGTTTTGGTCTTGACAGAGTTGCTGTTAAGTCTGCCAGAAAATTTCTGGCTATTTACACTGCCATTTAAATTTGTATTAGTTTTAAGGGGGCCAAAGTTAACAATGTTAGCCTTAAGATCAAAATGCACTAAAGTTTCTTGTTTAGGACTAAAGCATACAATTTTTACATATAGAGTCAAAACAATAATGTGGACAAATATAGAGACTAAATTAATAATTGATTTGCTTGTCTCAAACTTGTATACGCATCTAGACATATTGACATGAGGCGTTTAGTTTGACTTCTCCCTAAATTTTCTGATTGAACAGGGAAGGATATGAATATGAGTTTATTCAGAGGATTGTTGAGTTTGTTTCTAGCAAGATTAATTATGCTCCCTTACATGTTGCGGATTACCCAGTTGGACTAGAGTCAAAAGTGCTAAAAGTAATGTCACTTCTGGATGTTGGATCTGATGATGTTGTCCACATGGTGGGGATCCACGGAATCGGTGGAGTGGGTAAAACAACTCTTGGTGCTGCTGTTTATAATTTAATTGCTGACCATTTTGAAGCTTTATGTTTCCTTGAAAATGTGAGAGACACTTCAAACAAACAAGGGTTACAACATCTCCAATGCAACCTTCTTTCTGAGACAGTTGGAGAGATTAAGTTAACCAGTGTCAAACAAGGAATTTCCATAATACAACATAGGCTCCAACAAAAGAAAATTCTTTTGATTCTAGATGATGTTGACACACAAGAACAGCTACAGACACTTGCTGGAAGACCTCATTGGTTTGGTCTAGGCAGTAGAGTCATAATCACGACTCGAGACAAACAATTGCTAGCATGTCACGGTGTTAAAAGAACATATGAGGTGAATGAATTGAATGAAAAAGATGCTCTGGAATTACTTACTTGGAAAGCCTTCAAGTTGGAAAAAGTTGATCCATGTTACAAGGATGTTTTGAATCAAGCAGTTAGTTATGCTTCGGGCGTTCCATTGGCTTTAGAAGTAATAGGTTCCAACTTATATGGAGGAAACATAGAACAATGGCAATCTACTTTAGATCGATACAAAAGAATTCCTAATAAAGATATCCAAGAGATACTTAAAGTAAGTTATGATTCTTTGGAAGAAGATGAGCAAAGTGTTTTTGTGGACATTGCTTGTTGCTTCAAAATATATGACCTGGCAGAGATGGAGGATATACTTCGTGCTCATCATGGACATTGCATGAAACATCATATCAGAGTGTTGGTTGAAAAATCTCTCGTAAAGATTAGTTTGGATGGTAACGTGACACTACATGACTTGATCGAAGACATGGGTAGAGAAATTGTCCGGAAAGAATCACCTAAAGAGCCTGGGAAACGTAGCAGGTTATGGTTGCTTGAGGATATAGTTCAAGTTTTAGAAGAAAATAAGGTGAGTATGTTGATACATGTGGATGGTTTGGTTTTTTGTCTTTAACCTTGAATTATCATCTTTTGATTTTTATATGTTCATGTCATGTCAGTTACTTTTATGCTTTGTAATATGTACATTTCTCTAAGTATGCATGTTGAAATCCTAATAATGAATCATATAATGTGGTTGATTCTTGATTTTTCTGTTAAAAGGGAACTAGTCAGATTGAAATCATTTGTATGGATTTCCCTTTATATGAAGAAGTAGAAATAGAATGGGATGGATATGCCTTCAAGAAGATGAAAAATCTCAGAACACTTATTATCAGAAAGGGTCATTTCTCCAAAGGTCCCAAACATCTTCCTAATTCTTTAAGAGTGATGGAATGGTGGGGTTATCCTTCACAGAATTTGCCATACGATTTTCATCCGAAGCAACTTTCTATATTCAAGTTACCCTGCTGTGAGTATACATCACTTAAGTTGGCTGACTTTTTAAGAAAGGCAAGTGTATTGAGTTCATTTCCTTGTTTCTGTATCTTGATAAATTCACTTCAAGGTCATGCATCTGTTTTGATTTTATGTTTTATATTAATAAATTCTCTTTTAGTTTATTGATTTGCTTTCATTTCCCCTTTCTATGTTGCAGAAGTTTGTGAATATGACAAGTTTAAATTTTGACGAATGTCAATATTTAAAACAGATACCAGATGTATCTTGTCTCACACATTTGGAAAAATTGTCATTTCGATGGTGTCCAAAGTTATTTGCACTTCATTATTCTGTTGGGTTCTTGGAGAAACTTAAACTCTTAAATGCAGAAGGTTGCTCCATGCTTAAGAGTTTTCCTCCCATCAAGTTAATCTCTCTTGAGCAACTCAAACTTCGGTATTGTCATAGTCTTAACAATTTTCCAGAAATATTAGGAAACATGGAAAATATAAAAGAACTTGACTTGAGAGGAACTCCGGTAAAAAAATTCCCACTTTCATTCCAAAATCTTACTCGGCTTCGAAAATTGCATCTGTGTTTGAGGGTTCAAGCCATGAAAAATGGTTGTGTTGGCATTCCCCTTTCAAGCATTTGCATGATGCCAGAGCTGGTCGATATTACAGCAAGTAGATCGGAAGGGGAGTTGTTCGGTGAAGTGGATGATGGTGTAGAAAAAGTGAGTTCAACCTTGTCTACAAACGTTCAATATCTTCAGCTCAGATGCTGCAACCTAACAGATGAATTTTTTACAATAGTTCTCCCATGGTTTGCTAATATGAAGAACTTAGACCTATCAGGGAATAATTTCACAGTCATTCCGGAATGCATGAAAGAATGTCATTTTTTAACTAATCTAAATTTGAATTTCTGTGAGCGACTTCGAGAAATTAGAGGGATTCCTCCAAACTTGAAATATTTCTCTGCAATAGATTGCCTATCCTTGACTTCCTCATGTAGAAGCATGTTACTGAAACAGGTATTGTTTTTATCATTTGATTTGATCAATGTCAGTGTATGTAATGTCTCTAAACTTGATGAATTATTTATGACTAACAGGAACTGCATGAAGCTGGAAGCACCTTCTTTTATTTGCCAGGAGCCAAGATTCCAGAGTGGTTTGAGTTCCAAAGATTGGAATTGCCAATTTCTTTCTGGTTTCGTAACAAACTCCCAGCCGTGACTATTTGCCTTGCTTTGGAGCGGGTGTGTAAGTATTGCCCGTCAAGAGGTGATAAATGTAGACTCCTCGTGATCCCTAGTACATTGAGACTCATGTCACCCATCGTGATCATCAATGGCAAGGAACATTTGTTTGACAGTTGGGAGATGATAAATGATTGTACTTGTGTTTTTGATCTGAGGGAGACAAAACTAAGAAATGACTTAGATGAAGAACTTTTGGACAATGAATGGAACCATGCAGAGGTTACATGTCGATATACTAGTTTTGGCCAAACCTTTATAAAAAGTGGAATCCATGTATTGAAACAGGAAAATAGCATGGGGGTTATTCGATTCACTGATCCTTGTAGAAAAAGAAATCTGGATGATGAGTTCAATAGTTTCAAATCTCTAAACCAACAGTTGCTGAAAAAATAAAGATGAGTGGACATGGAAGTTGCCAAAACACAATTTGTGCAGCAGGGATGTTCACTATTAGTTAATTTTTCTCGGCGAGTAAACCGAGTTAACTGTAGTACAATTATAAAATGGGTTGTGGTATCTTCAGAGACTTGGCAGATATCACACCATTTCAGTTTTCATTCCATTAAAACTTTGAATATTGAGATAGTGTATAATATTGAGATAGTGTATAAAATGCAATGGTGAATACAAAAAATTGTTGTATAAGAAAAATACAAGATGATAAATTGTTGAATTGGATTGTGTAACCTATTATCTATATATGCATGAATTCAAATGTCAATTTAAAGTTCAAGAGATCAGATTAATCTCTTAACACTAGAGTTCTAAGAAATTCCTTAAAAAATTGGTTAAGAAACTTGCATTAAACACAAAAAATTTTACACAACAATAATTTTAACAAGAAACTATTTTCTCATATAAATCTATTTCTAAAACCATGAAATTATATTCCTCTAAATCTAAGCATTAAAAACAAAATCTGATCGGAAATGAATTCATATATATATATATATATATATATATATATATATATATATATATATATATATATATATATATATATATATAGCAATAGAGTTACATCCAATCCAACATAAGAGAGATTAGCAACACATGGTGAGAGAAGAAGAATCCTACTATACAAGGAAATGAGCTCTAATCTATCTAGCTTTCGTTCCCACAGTCTAGCTCTCCAAGTTTCACGTTTCTCTTCTTTCCTCGTATATGTTCGTTCTCCCTTTCTTTTATTCTTCAATTCTTCTATTTATACCTAAGGGAACTCGCAACATTTTTACTAATCCACTCAACGATGTGAAATTTGCTCGGTGGATTGAGGTTGGTTGACCCCAAAGTACTTTCATTCGTTTGACGCCGTTATATCCGCTCAGTGCTTTTTACCCTCATGGGAAGTTATTTCTCTCTGTTGCTAATCTGCTCAGTGGATTACCTTATCGCTCAACGCTTTCGTTGTCTGCTCAGCGCTTTCGATCACCTTGGGAATGCTTCTTACTGCCTCAAATATGCTCAACGAATGACAGATCACTCAGTGCTTTGACTCTTTGTTATGAAAGTGATCCTAGCAAAGATCTCATTGATTTGATGAAGTCAAAGATAAAGTCAAGGGTCAACTCTGCAGCAGTCAAACAAGTCACTCAGAAGAATGGAGCTGAAGACTTAGTGTGTCTTAACAGAAAGCTTAGGTAAAACCACTTTACCTTTTCCACTGCATAAAGTTTCTTCACTCATCTTGCAAAATGCCTCAAAAATAGTTTTAAACAAATCAAACAAAAGCATTTTGACAAAGAACCTTCTTAACAATAGTTTTAACTGATATAGTTTTTTAAGAAACGATTAAAATCACTAAGAATGCGTAAAGAATTGTTTTTACAGTATTTTAATCGATACAAACTTCTTTTAATCGATTAAAACCCTTTAGAAATCATTATGACCGATTAGAATTCGAATATAATAGGTCAGAATGCATTATAATCGATCAGATCTTAAATATGAGCGATCAGAACTATTTTAATCGATTAAAACACGTTTCAATCGATTAAAATCACTTTGGATGTCAGTATGATCGATCAGAATGAGATTATGACCGATCAGAGTTGGTTATGATCGATCAGAATTGAATTATGACCGATCAGACTTATTTCAATCGATTAAAACGCATTTCAATCGATTAGAATAACTTAGAAAATCTTTTCAATCGATTAAAACGAACTTTCAATCGATTAAAATGACTTGAAAATATATGTGCAGTTTTTCAATCGATTGAAACGACTTTATATCAGTTAAAATAACTTGGAAAGTTTTATAAGAAGGTTTTTAAACAAAACAATCGATTAATACGCGATTCAATCGATTGTTTTATACTTTGAAAATGTTTGTAAAACGTTTTAACTGATAAAAACGTGGGCGTATCAACTAAAACATTTTCTGTTAAAGATCAAGAACGCATTAATGGGTTGAAAGGACTTTTAACAGATTATAACGGCTATTTCAACAGGTTAAAACAAACTTTCAACAGATTAATTAATGCAGCTTTTTCTGAAAACTCTTTAAAAACAGTTTTGATTGAATTTTTTGAACAACAGATTGAATATCAGCTTTTAAACATCCAAAGCAATCAATTCAAGCAACTCGTTAGCATACTTTTTTCAAGAAAGATACACAACTGTTTTTGTGAACTTCTTTTGAAATCTTTCTTGAGGCACTTTGCATTTCTTTGAAGAAGAAACTGACTGTGGATTGGTGTAATCCGGTTTGAGCTTTCTTTGTTTCTTCTTTTCAATTTCTATTCATTCTTTTGTACCTGTTTTGTACCTGGAATTTGGGTACAAGTTTTCTGCAAGCTGTTGTAGAAAGTTGCCAAGAACTGGAATTTGGTTCTTGGTGGAAAGGTTAAAGCAAGAGCTGGAATTTGGTTCTTGTGTGTGGTGCCTGGAATTTGGGCACTCGGTTTCTCTCATAGCTGGAATTTGGTTGCAGAGGTTTCCAAGAGCTGGAATTTGGTTCTTGGTGGAGAGTTAGAATAGGTGTAAGAGGGTGAGTCTGTAAAACATCTATTCTAGTGGAACCCAGCTGGAATTTGGCTGGAGTCTGGACGTAGCCCTGGTATTGGGTGAACCAGTATAAAATTACCGGTGAAATCTTTCCTAACCTTTCTCTCTTTAATTTCAGTTGCTGCGCTTATATTGTTTGATTGCTTGGTAATTCAAAAAGATTTTTAGAAACTTAATTTTCGAATTAGATAATCTGAGATTTGCGAAAAACTTTCAAAAAATCAATTCACCCCCCCTCTTGATTTAAAACTACTTTTCTAACAATTGGCATCAGAGCAAGGTGCTTGAAAGTTATTCAAGTCTCTTGATCCATGGCTGAGAACAGGTTACCGTTTTCTGAGGGGGCATCTATTAACAGACCTCCACTATTCTGTGGAACAGATTATCCTTTCTGGAAAATTAGGATGAAAATCTTCATTGAATCCATTGACAGAAATGCTTGGGATGTTATTACTAATGGTCCTCTAATTACAGATAAAGGATGGTCAAGCTTGAATGATGAAGAGAAGAAGAAAGTTCAAAGTGACTGCAATGCAAAAAATATTATTACTTCTGCTCTTAACATGGATGAATTTTTCAGGGTGTCCCAGTGCAATTCTGCCAAGGAGATGTGGGATGTTCTTGAGGTCACTCATGAAGGGACTGCAGATGTTAAAAGAGCCAGAAAACACACTTTGATAAGAGAGTATGAGCTGTTTAAAATGCAGAATGGTGAAAGCATCGCAGATGTGCAGAAACGCTTCACGCACATCATCAACCATTTAATGGGCCTAGGTAAGACCTTTGATAAGGAAGAATTAAATATTAAAGTGTTGAAATGTCTTGACAGGTCCTGGCAGCCAAAAGTCACTGCAATATCAGAATCAAAAGATCTGTCCACCATGACAACAGCCTCACTGTTTGGAAAACTCAGAGAACATGAAATGGAAATCACAAGATTCAATGAGCAAGAAGTCTCTGAGAAGAAGAACAGAAGCATTGCACTTAAAGTTGAAGAAAATCAAGAATCAGAAGAAGATAATGAGAACCTTGGACTGCTTGTTAGGAAATTCAACAAATTCCTCAAGAAAAAGATCCAAGACAAGGAAAGACACAAAAGGTATGAGAAAAGAACTGATTCTTCTAACTTTAAATGTTATGGTTGTGGCAAACAGGGCCATGTTAAAATGGAATGTCCAGAAAGAAATAAACAAAGTGAAAAGAAAGAGGAAAAATCAAAAAGAAGAGCCTACATAGCCTGGGATGATAATGATACGTCATCAACAGATAACTCTGAAAATGAAGAAGCCAATCTTTGCTTAATGGCGAGTCAAAATCCACAAACCAGCCAGGTAAGTTCTAGCTCCTCTTCAAATATAGTTAACTATGATGCATTACAAGAAGCATTTAATGAAATGCATGAGGAGGCTAAGAAACTTCAAAAAGAAAATAATAGGCTAAAAGGATTAAATAACTGGCTAGTTAACAAGGTTGATTCTCTGGAAAAACAGATTAGTGAAAATGAAACTGATAATGAATTCTTGAAACTGATTCATGATAACTCTGATTGTAAATGCAATAAACCATGCAAAAACTGTTCTGAATTGCAAAAGAAAATTGAATTCTTATCTCAAACTGTTTCAAAGTTCACTCAGGGGCAAGCCAATCTTGATATATTACTTGGATCTCAAAAATTAATGTTTGACAAAACTGGAATAGGCTTTAAATCTAGATCCAGTAAAACAAAAACAAATAGGAATTCATACTCTACAATCAAATGTTTCTACCTGCATGAAGAAAGGGCATTCAAGTAAAATACTGCAGAATTAAAAAGTATGCTATTCCTAAAGGGAGAATGAAATGGGTTCCAAAGATTAATTCTTTTCAAATAACATGATCAGGACCCAATAATTATAAAGGGTACCAGAAAAATACTTAATTGTTTTGCAGGAACAAGTCTGGGAATCCCTTGAAGATCAGAAGCTGCGAAACCAGGTTCTGTGTATTTAAATTAATTGTTTTAATTGATATAAATCAATATTAATCGATTAAAATAACTTACTGATATCTGTCCGATACGATTTTAATCGATTGAAATATCGAAATAATCGATTGAACTGATCTCAGGATTTTGGTTTAATTGTTTTAATCGATTGTAATATCTCGTATATCAACTAAAAACACTTAGGTATCAAAATTAATCGATTCATTTACGTTTTAATCGATTTAAATTCTGGTGTCATGTTATTGATTTCATTCTCGTACCTATCTAATCGATTCTTTCATAAAACAATCGATTAATTCACTGTAGATGTTTTCAACCCTAATGTCAAGAATCAAATTAATAGATAATGAGTTGATTAATCAATTAATTAGGTTCTGAAAACATGATTTACAAGCATCTAA